CCAGAATTGGCCTGAACCATGTAACCTTTCTGAATTTATCTCACCTGTATTGTTTCTTGTGGGCTCTGACATTCGCAGATTGATTCTCCTTTTTGCCTGAAGTGCTCTTTAGTTGCTTGTTTTGTTTTTATGCCTTCGGCGCTCCATAGATGGCTCTTTTTTTAGGTAAAAAAAAACCTAGCACATAGAGCAAGAGAAACGCCTGCCACTGGGAAGCAGGCAGATAACTGGCCAATCCTTTTTTTCCTAACCGTAGAAGTGATTGTTTCCCTCTACCATAGGTATCATTTGCTGCGTGCAATGCGGAACTTTGCGGAGCACATGTATGATCATAGGCATCATTGATTTCTCTTTAATAAGGACAATTTCATGACGTGATTGTGTATATTGTACATCGCCAAGATGATCGCAGCATTTATGATATTGGTTTCCTCCTTCAAAGCGGAGAAAAAATCAGCTAGCATTAGATCAGGGGTAGGCAAGCTCGGCACTCCAGCTGCTGCGGAACTACAAGTCCCATGAGGCATTGCAAGACTGACAGCCACAGGCATGACTCCTATGAGCAAATTTAGTTTCATTACAGCTGGAGTGATGAGGTTGCCGACTTCATTAGACTGTGTTACATCTTGGATTGATTGACAGTGCCCCTAGTCCCATCCCTCTCCCCCCACCAGCAATGTATACTCTCTGATGATCCACGATCCCTTGCCACCACTATTAGAACAGGTGACCCCATGTGACAGTGCTTAGGAATCGGTGTCCAATCCCCAGTTCCAAGCTGCCGGAACCCTGTTACATGGGTGCAGTGATGTCATCCTCCTAGCTAAGCTCTGACACCCGCACTTACTGGGTGGTCTTCTGCCGTTTGGGAGGTGGTGAAGGAGCACCTTGCTGGGGGCTTTGGCTGTCATAGACACTGCACCTCGAATCTTTAAAGAACAACTCTGGGTAAAAATGTTATTAACCCTTGCGTTGGGGCTAACCACCCCCCGACTAGTTACCCCCCACAGTGTGGTTAAGTTCTCGGTTTTGCCTAGGGTCAAAAATATTATGAGGGCCTACATGTGCTTTGAGGGGTTTGGAGGTTCCCATGGTGATGGAGCAGAGATCTGACGGTATGGGCAGGTGCCTGCATTCTAGTACTATAGTTGTCATAAAGGGTAAGTGCACTTTCCCAAGTGAATATGTGAAAAAGGAATTACCGCCCCCAATCTGGCCCCCTCAGGTGACTGCATTGACCAATGAATGCTTGCAATTTGCGAGCGAAATTCAAAATCCATAGCGCACGGCAGTATGGGGGTACGTATAGTACACCCGTACCGGTGGAGGGGAAGGAGCATTTACCAAAAGGTAAGTATAGCGGGGTGGGGGCGAGGGGGGTGGAGAGGGGGCCAGATTGGGGTGGGTGGGCCAGATTGGAGGGGGGAAATTCAATTTCCACAAATAATTCGCTTGGGAATGTGGACTTGCTCTTTAAGGCTAGGTTCACACCTAGGCAACACCTCACCACATCGTGCACGATTCTGTGTGGATTGGCACGCGGTTAGGAGTCGCCAAAGTGCGAACCGATCGTGCGATGGGTGCCATTATTTTCTAATGCCCGTGCTTCCGAACACTAAAAGAGCCACGCATCGTGTATCGCACAAAGAAGGTACTTGCAGATTTCCCCTTTATTGAAATGAATGGGGCCACGCGACAATCACTGCCTGCATTGTGCAGGACCGCACGACACCCGGGACGCGTGAAGTGCCGGTGTGAACCTAGCCTGATAGGGTTTAGCAAGCGACATATGTACGTTAAAGAGCAATGCTGCACTATAGCATACGGGTTCCATGTAAAGAACATATCATTGCGTACATGAGAACACAGACGTGTCCCATTAAGACATTTTTGTGTCCTTGATTATTGCGGACTAATGAAAACATCATAATATGTTGTGCGTTTTTGTTTTTCCGTTTATATTACGACCCTTCAAGATGATTACCCCATCATTGTGAATGCAATTACATATTCAGTAACTGCTTAGGCTAGCAGCGCTCGGATGAATGGATTTTTATACGTTTGATCTCCAAAACACATAATTCTTCATTCTAATCACCTTTAATATCCCTCAATGCAGTAATTTGACGGAGGTTGCCGTGGCAATACAATGGCTTCAATAATGCGGCAATGTCTGATGATTCAAGTGCCATTCCAGACACTTGCACTCGGCGCATTGCAACAGTGGATGGCCTTATCTGGCATAATCACAATACAGATGTAGGGCTAATCACAGACCAAACGCCTGCCATGCCTTTGAGAATTGATTTTCTGTTCTCTCTATAAAAATACACAGCCGTTGGATACAATATGTGACCTTCTACTGGCTTGTGATGGCACACTGCAGTATTTGAGGCTTGTCACAGTGGATGCATCCTCATGAATAATCAAAACTGCAGCCATACGCAACAAGAAAAATAGGAATAGCCCGTTAAAAAGATAAAATTAAACCAATTTTTGCTTCAATATTTACCGTCCGTCCAGAGATTTTCTCCGCAGTACCTTTTTTTGCCACTAGATGTCCTTAGTTTGATGGCCAGCATCATTCAACCCACTTGCTCTGTGCCCAGGTGATCCTGCACCCACCACAGCCTGTTAGTGGACAGTGAAATACAAGTATTTATAGAGAGACTACTGTTTCCATGTAGAAAGCAAGGGTTCTTCTCTTTAACATGCTGGCAGATAACAGGCTTTTCTGCTGTTGCTGTGGCTGCTTTTAGGCTGTCAGTCGGGGAATTCTGCAGCTTGGGACAAATTGCCCTCAGCGGGATTGCTGAAGAAGGCTGCCTGTCTGTCTCTATGGAGTCGCTCTCTTTGTAGTCAGATTCAGGGAGATGTCCCTCTGTTACTGGCCTGGAGACTGCTAAATCTCAATCACTAGGGATGGGGGCGACATGTCGCTGATTCCATAGGGACAAACAGGCAACCTCTTGGTGATCCTGCCACTGGCGATTTTGACATAGAGGCAGGTTCAATAGGGACCGAGTCACCCGCCTGACATCTTTGATGCAGCTGAAATGTATTTACCCGGTTTAAACGTAAGGTTCGTTTAGACTTCAGTGCAGTGAGCTTTCCACATTTCATTCAGTGTGTTAAATGCTGGGGTGGCTAATAGGAAAGCCCAGCACTAACTCTGCTCTTCAGACTTAAAGGAGAACTATGAGGTGACTGCTTTTCACTCACCTCATAGTTCTAGCTGAACAGTGACAATGAGACTGTCACAGGTCGGCTCAGTAACGAGCACATATAGGCGATCGGCGGGCTATGGACCCGCTGATCGCCTATATGTGAAACACCCGGTACCGGGTGTTCGCATTGGACGGGTCTTTTCTGCCCGTGCGTGCCCGCTAGGGGGCGCGCGCGAGCAGAAAAAAATTGCCGTCGGAGACGGCAACCCGCAGATGCTGCAGTGCCGTCCGTCCGTTTTTTTACTACGGGCGGACGGCAAGAGGTTAAAGTGACATTAAACCCTCAGATTTTTTAACATAAAACAATACTTTAATGTGTGTCTTACTGTAATCCATGGTTGTTTCCCTTCTCTTTGCTGCTCTTCCACTGCTCTTCTCTTTGCTACCTCTTCTCATGCTGGGGAGAACTTCTGTTTTGCAGCAGACTGCCTTGTCTCTGAAATGGATACATGTGTAGGTTCACAACCTGAGCCAGCACTACAGGAAGAGGCAGCCAGCTGCAAACGGAAATTCTCCCCCAGCATGAGAACAGATACAGATTTAAAAGGAAGAGCGGCAAAGAGAAGGAAAACAACCATGGATTACAGTAAGGCACACATTTAGGTGATTAAAAAAAAAAGAAAATTAAATTAAAAAAGTGATATAGTAAAGTAAAAAGTAATAAAAAAATTAAAGCCAACCCTGGCCCTGCCGCCATCTGCATGTAAATAAGCAGCGATCTCTAACATGCACAATGTGCATTAAATGTAATTTGGGAAAATGGAATTACCCATTTAAATCTGGTCCCCTCTTCCTACATTCCCCCTCCGGTGCAATACTTGCCTCTTGGCGCACAGTCTTTCCCCTCCGCAAGTACAGGTGCACTATCTGTACCCCATACTGCCGTTCAGCGCATCCCTGTGCTATGGATTTTACATTTTGCTCGCAAATTGCAATGCTCGTTGGTCAGCGCAGTCAGGTGACCACGTTGACCAACGAGAAGTGCTTCTTAGCACGCTTAAATAGGGTTTTGGTTAAATAATATTTTTTGTATCAGGACAAGTAGATCACAATGAGGGACATGTAGATTGGGCCCCCCGCTTTTAGTCCTTGGATAAGTAGTTTTAAAAAAAACTTCCACACCCCTGTACTGGGCAGTAGCCTGCTATATGCTGAGTTTTGGGTCACAAGACATTAGTAGATGTCCTCCTGTGACCCAAAAGAGAACTATCGCCAAAAAAGATTTGGCTATAGTTCTCTTTAAAGGAAAATGTATTTTACCGGATAAAATAGTTTGCTTCAATTTCTAGTCCGGTATCCACACAGAACAGCATGACATACACTTGGTGGGTAGCCATGCTGGGAACTGGCTTTCTCTTACGAGGTCGCTCATTTTCAGAGCACGTAGGCAAAGAAATTTGGGAAGTGTTTGTTTTTCTCGGCTGTTATACTCGATATTTAATCCCAGACCATCTGTTTAAGAAGAATAAAGCTTCTGAGGACATTAGTTTACCCTGCCACAGACCTCCAGAACACGATGATAAAATGGCCACAAATAACAGCGGCAATGCTAGATAATGCAGATAGTAGTTTGTGGACAGCATTACTGTCAAAAGTAGCCTGCAGGGAGAGCTGTGACTAGCTCAGAGGCATGCAAGTTCCTCACGGTGTGATGTATTCTGTATAAATGGCCTGTATGTATGTATGTAGGTTGCTTAGGCAACAACAAGAAGTGCACGTATGTATATCTGCAATACATGTCCCATTTAATAATTTCAACTTTTGTTCTTTTAGCAAAATCAAGCCGGAAACTGACATTCTTGTATTTGGCCAACGACGTGATCCAGAACAGCAAACGGAAGGGCCCTGAATTCACCCGAGAATTTGAGAAAGTGTTGTTGGAAGCCTTTTCGCATGTTTCCAGGTAAAGATCGTGCGGACAGTTTGGCATTTCATGTATACGTTAATGGCTTTGTTGACTGACATCCCGTAGGTCCGTGATCCGTCAAACGTCTCCGGAGAAAAATGTTCTTAACCCTTGCAGTGGGGCTACTCTAGCACTGCAAAGGTTAAGTGCTCATTTTTTTGCCTAGATTCAAAAATAACAGTTATACTCACCCGACCCTCGGAGCCAGCCGGCTGCGATAGTGCTCCCTCCTGCCTGTCTCCCCCTCCGCTGCAGCAAAGGTATCTTCCTTGGCGTCCTCATGTCCTATACACTGTGTATAGAACGTGATGACTCAAGGACCATAGACCACTGCAGTATAGGGGAAGAGACAGTGAACGGACCAGTCTAAGAACAAACTGGCGTTGAGGATTGGGTGAATATAACTTTTTTTTATTTTTGAACCTAGACCAAAACAAGCACTTAACCTTTGCAGTGCGGGGGTAGCCCTGACTGCAAGGGTTAAGCACATTTTTACCTAGAGTTGTGCTGTAAAGCAAACCTGCCCATGTGGGGCAAAGCAACAGGTTCTCTTTAATGCCCCCATAGTTGCCTTTCAGTTGCTACCCTGCTGCTCTCTTCAGGTGGCCAAAGTGCCAAAACTGCAGCCCTGTGTAAGCTCAAAGTCATTCTAATTAGAACTGAAACAGGCCTAAGGACTTCCTTACCACCCCCCTATGTGATGAGAGTTGGTGCAATCGCCAAGCACGTGTGCTGTCACATGGTTCTATGTACTGAAGGTATCAGATATTTTTTATGCCCCAGGCGAGTTAATGGAGCAGCAGAAGAGCCAAGGAAAGGGCAGTATGTGATGCGGAGGGGAATGGGCCACATTTAAATGAACCTGTTGCTTTGCCCTGCATGTGCAATGCATAGGTTTACCATCAAGCTGAACTCCAGGCAGATCCTAAAGAATACCAATCAATGCAGTCCTTGATACTGGCCTCCTGTAACCCGTTAGAATGCTGCGATCGAACGGTCAGTGGGAGATGCTGCAGCTGATTGGCTAGGAAGCCGGCTCCATGCTGATGGACTGGGAAGCCAGCTTCCCGGGCAATCAGCATCGAGCCGGCCACACAGCCGGCTCAATGCTGATTGGCTGGGAAGCCGGCTTCCAGGCCAATCAGCATGGAGCCAGCTTTCCGAGCAATCCAGATTAGCCCCACTGCAAGGGTTAAGATTTGATTTGCCCAGAGTTCTGCTTTAAAGATCTTATTAGACTGTATATATGTGAATTCTCATCTCTGGGGTTTCCCCCAGTTTGTTGAGTGCTGCTGAACCAGAGTGTGCCCAGTTATAATTTCGATTGACCATTTAAAAATCCATATCTACCGCCTCATTTTTTTTTCTTTGGCAATAACATCCTGAAATACTTCCTAACTATTCACCACTCTACTAGAAAATGTGTTTTTTTAATTGCTGCCTGTTTCCTGATTGGGGACATTTCCTGTAACATTGTATTCTATTTGACAGCCATTACATAGACAGGAAGTGGAAATAAATCTCTAAAGTGGAGACACAGACAGCAAAAAAACCTGATTGATTTCCCCTCCATTTCTCTACTCCGTGCAAAATTAAAAAATAAACAAGCTGGAGATGGATATGTGCAGCACAGATGAAAGGGGGGTAGCAGCTGTGCTATAGGAGAAAAAGGACAGTTGCTGCAGATTTGTCAGCTACACATCAATGATGCGAATCTCCCGTTCCTCCACATCCCAAATGTGCTCTATAGGATTGTGATCTGGTTACTGTGGAGGCCATTGGAGTACAGTGAACTTATCATGTTCAAGAAACCAGTTTGAGATGATGTGAGCTTTGTGACATGGCGCATTATCTTGCTGTAAGTAGCCATCAGCAGTTAGGTACATTATAGTCATAAAGGGATGGACATGATCAGCAACAATACTCAGGTAGGCCGTGGCATTTAAACATTGCTATTAAGGGGATGAAAGTGAGCCGAGAAAACATCCCCCCACACCATAACATTGTACAATTCTACAACAGAAAATAGTCGAGTCAATTAAGTTGACTGGAATAGAAATCATGTGCAGACCAGGACCGAAAAAGTATCCCTACGGCATTTCAAGGCTCTGTTTACACCAGCGCAGTCCGATCCGGTCCAGACAAACAAAAATACTGCTGGTCTCATTTTCTCTGGTTTGGAATGCACTGGAAGGTATAGAAATGCATCAAAAACACATGCAAATGCAGTGGAACGCACTGGACTACACCTGTAAGCCCATTTTAAGCTAAGAAAACGGCAAAACGCACTGCACTGCGTTTGCAGATCTGCTCGTGGTCTGGTCCAGACATGGTGTGAACATAGCCTATAGAAGAGTAAAATAAAAAGTGAGAAAGAGGATTATGGCGCAATGGGCACTAGACCACCGAGTCCAGGGCTCTCTCACACTTTTATAAGAAACTGCACAGAGAATGGGATGATGAGATCTGCACCACATTATTCCAAGGGCACCCTTCTCATCTATGCGTTTTCATTCAGAGCATTTTTTAAGGTCTTCCAAAGCCTTCTGCTGTCTTGACAAAAACACATCTGCCATAGAGATAAAAGGAAGTGCATGCAAAGCCATAAAAGATGAATATGCGCAGTTTAGTGCAGAAAATGTTATAATATGCATGAAAAACTCATCACAAACACCGCGCACTGCATGGAAAATGCATTTAAATATTCATATTAAAATCCAATGTAATGCAGATAGTGTAAATGAAAGGCTGAGTTTACTTTCCTGACCATATTTTATGTTGCATATTTAGGGTGTAACATGAAACAAGGTAAGATCGCAAATCCCCCTCCTGCCCACCACCTAACCCCCACCTCAAATGTAGTCCATTGACGCTTCCTGCCATCTATGTAACTGAATTGTCCGTACCTTGGTACAGACATTGATGGAAGGAAGAGTCTGCAGGAGCCAGAGCATTGCATCTGGGATCTACTGGTCACAGTTGCAATGCTTTGCTGGCTCCAATTCAATAAAATAATAAATGCAAATGTTTTCTTTTACGAAGAATTGCCTAAAGGTTCTAATATGTAGACGTAGGCCTCGTTCACACTGCTTAGAGCCGGCCCGTACAGATCCGTGTGGCGTGCATGGCCGTATGGGGCCGCTCCGGGGAAGGACGGGTGCTGCGTGTGATTGTACGCAACAGTCTGTTCTTCTCTATGGGAGTATGTGGCCGTACACTCACCCGATCTGCACTTCCGTGTGGGTGCATGTGTCCATACTCGTATGCAGACAGGATGGATGAATCCTGTCTGCATCCGAGCACGGACACCCAGACCCGCACGGATGTGGAGCTCGGGTGAGCGTACGGCCGCGTACTCCCACGGAGAAAACAGGCTGCTGCGTACAATCACACGCAGCACCCGTCCTTCCCGGGAGCGGCCCAATACAGCCCTGCACACCGCACGGATCTGTAGGGGCGGACTCTTAGCAGTGTGTAAGAAGTACAAGGATTGTGGCACCAGTTCATCATGGGATATATACAAACACATATCTGCACCCATGAAAACTGAAAGAGTGGTAGTACCAGGTTTAGTCAGCAAGAGGCGTTGTATGCCATAGTCCAGAATTGCACCTCCTCATTGTCCTGTATGGTGCAGAGATTTACAGGCAATGATTGTCTGTAAATCTCTGTAAAATTGCGTTTTAACATTTTTTGTCTGAATGCGTTAAACTTGTGCACACAGAAATACGCTATAAAAGTGGTATATAATGTGCTTATTTAGCTGTGCACCAGCACACGATGTGCATCTTTGTCGAACATTGCAGAATAGAAAATAAAGTTACTGCAGTTGAGAGGTTCTGACATTCAGAAATGTTAAACAAGGTTACTTGTTCACATGTGGAGTGTGGGCTGTTTTCCGTTTTATACTTTTAATTACATTTTCATTTATAATACTTTGCTATACAGCTGCGATATAGAAGAGGAAAGCTATTTTCTGAAGTGGTAATCATACATCTTACCTTTGCGCAAATCCTTCATCTCACTGCCAACTTATTTCCACCCTTCCCTGCTGTCCTAATACTTCTTGTGTAATACTCGCCTATCAGCAGCCTCAGGCTCCCTCTAGGTGCCTCCACCTAGAACGTGCTTTATGCGAAACAATGATGTTCAGATAGAGCCAGCCAAAGTGTAGCTCTGGTTGGATACAGATGGCTGTGTTTTTGGTACCGGCAGGTGGAGTGATGCATTGGATTTCAAATATACTTAAAGCTATACTATGGGCAATGACCCCTCTCACCCTTTGCCCCTAACGAATTGTGTTTAAAAAGCTTAAAACTCCCTTTTTATTTACTTGGCGTGTCGGTTCCCAAGCCCCCTATATTTTTTACTGTAGAGGAGGAGGATTGTTCTTTGTGTCCATATTACTACATGGCTAATGAAGACAATGTAGGGCCAACTGATCGGAAGCCGATTAATCGATTATTGAAAAAGATGACAACTTTTTCAATAATCGATTATGTCGATTAGTTGTTGCAGCCCTACTTGTCAGCTGTCCTCCGTTGAGATCCTTTAAGGCTCCAGACGACTGTACAACCTGGTGACATCACAAAGAGATGACCATTCAGCACGAACACAGATTGCAGCTCTAGATCACTAGTTTTCACTCTGGAAGCAGCGCTGGTGAGGGACAAGGATTGTGTAATTAGGGGAATATAAAGACCTTCAGCCTATGGATGGGATGGGGGAGAACTTTGCTCGGCGATGGACTTTAAAGTGAACCCGCAGTCAGGCTATGGACATTCAAGTATTTACATATACCTCCCAAGCAAAATGAGCTTAAAACACAGCTCCACTGACCTCTGTACTTGCAGGCATTGTGTAGCAATTTATCTTCAAATTTTATGGTAGAAAGTACTGCTTTCCTCAGTTGTTTTCTCACCAGCTCTGCTTGCCCTTCTCCTATGATGTACTGCTCTGTTTTCATTTTGAGATTAGAAGTCTCTCTGTTGAGTTAGTTGAATTCCTCAAAGCCTCCTATCTTTTTTTTCTTTTTACTGTAGAGGATAGAGGAGGAGGGTCCTTCTATCAGTGTCCATATCACTGCCTGGGTAATGGAGACACTGCTTATCAGCTGTCATCGGTTGAAGTCCTTTCAGGCTCCAGATGGCTGTACAACCTGGTGACATCACAAAGAGATGGCCAATCAGCACGGACCCAGATTGCAACGCTGGATCACCAGTTTTCACTCTGGAAGCACCGCTGGTGAGGGATAAGGGTAGCAAAATTAAGGGAATTTACGGACCTTCAGCCTGTGGATGGGATGTGGGAGAGCTTTGCTCAGCAATTAACTTTAAAGTGAACCCCGTCATGCTATGGGCGTTGAAGTATTTACATATACTTACAAAGCAAAATTAGGTTAAAATACGCCTTCACTGACCTCCGTACTTGCAGGCATTGTGGAACAATTCATTTTCAAATATGGCAGAGGGTACTGCTTTCCTCAGTTGTTTTCTCAGCAGCTCAGCTTGCCCTTCTCCTCCTATGATGTCCTGCTCTGTGTTTTCCTTAGAGGATAGAAGTCTCTGCTGAGTAACTGCAGGAGGGAAAGCTGAGTTGAAAAACTCCTTGCATTGGCAGTAAATTTGAGGATGATTTGCTCCATTGCCTGCAGCCATCGGGGTCAGTGAGGTCTTGATTGTCCTTTTTGCTCCCTGACCTAAACTAACCCACCCTCTCCCTCCACAGATGCATTCTCACCTCTCTCCAACGGTCATGGCTTCAATGTTTGTTTACATGCAGCATGATGCATTTTGACCATGCCTGCACAGTAGGGCACCTTAGACTTCTATGGGGCCGTGTCCCTTGGCTGTAATGCTCTGGTATCATGGCTAGCACATTGAAGATGCATGGAGCTGGATGTAAATAAACAGTGGAGCCACAACCATAGAATGGATCTGCGGAAGGTTGGTTAAGTTGGCAAGGGGGCAAAAAAGGATACGTGCACTTATTTTATTTACCTCACTGATCCCTGTAGCTGAAGGCACTGCAGCAAATAATCCTCTACAGCAGTACTCTTCCTCCCACTTGAAGTCAAAGATCTGACAGGTGTTCAGGCTTCACTGCCTAAATCATCGTTTTGGATCGGCGACTCAGGAAGTATTGGTGTTAGAGAATCAGCATGATGGTCAGAAATTTAGCATTGTCTGAATCCAGTTCACAAATACATCCTCTGCATTTCCCCCCTTGACAAGTTTGCTAGAAATAGCAGATCTTTGGAACGTTGTTGGTTGCCATCATTTTGCCACTAGTTGTTCCCTTACTAAGAAGTGAGACTCATTATACATTATGATGCAGCAATCACACGCTTAGAATGGGCAGGAAGTAGAAGATAAAATATTGCCAGCAGCTTTTGGCAGTTAAGCAACATTCACATAAATCATAAGATGGAGGTTTCACAAAACGCAGGCTTATGTTCAAGGCCATATATCAGCCCAGCAGGAGCTTTCAGCTCCGAATTTTAGGAAAGAAGCAGGAAATAATGTAACCCTTTCCTTTCCGCCTTTTAGGGCTCCTCTATACTGTTCTGCTATCGCTGGCACTCTGTTCCTTTCACTCTGGAGTGCGTGTCTTTTATTTACCACAAGTCTCATTTTCTCAGAACTTCTTGTGTTTGATCATACTTCCCAGACATTTATTTCCAGCATTGTACTCCCTTGTACCTTGTATCCTCGCACTCTTCAGCGCTCCTTGATGTTCTATCTACAATACACTCCTACAGCTCATGTCATCATGACTGTTGTGCGCGTACTTTTAGCTAGAGGCTGGACGAAGCTCAGGGCCATTTAACCAATGCAGCCAGACAGTTGCAAATAGCAAATGATTCGTTACTCATCCATTGTATGTCCTCAAAGTCCATTTGTATGGATCGCACAGTGGCCAGTACTTGAGTCCTGTACATGTTAATAGCCTGCTGTCTAGTTTAAAGGGCAACTCTACAGAAGATGGATCTATGTTTTGAATGGCATAAGGTACCCTGTAGTCCAACATGATGCCTTTGCTTGCTTGTCTTTACGTCATTACTTTGTGTCAGCTGCAGGAGAATGATGGGGTTGGGCTTAGGTGTTTATAATGCGCTTACAATAAGCTACATACCGATGGCTTGCTTTTACTGTGTGAACATGCACGCTGATACATGTGCTAAGAGGAAGGGAACATCCCTTCCTCTTGTCAGCGAGGAAAAAAAAAATCATACAAATTCAATCTGGCAGTATGACACTTCCCTGGGGGAGATGTTTCAAGGGATGTCTGGAAGGGACCTGCAGATGTACAAACATTTGCTGATCTCACTGCAAACAGCCAGATTAGGTGGACACAAGTCCAAACAGGAAGTCACTCGCACTCCAATGCAATGCCACGTCAATTTTGTTTATTGACTAGAAATAGTGTAGCAGTGTACTGTGGCTGTAAAATGCTACACTATTTCTAGTCAATAAAGAAGTTTGACTTGGCATTGCATTGGAGTGCGAGTGACTTCCTGTTTGGACTTGTGTTTTGCGGAGGCATTTGCTGTCACTGCCGCATCCGCCCTGTTTTACCTGGGCTTCCATCCGATCAGGAGTGCGATGGGATACAGGTTTTTTCAGATTAGGTGGACAGTCGCTGTCTGCTGTCATATTTGGGTCCTACTAGGCAAATCTCCCCTTACTGCCCGCATAGCCGTGATGTGAGCTTTACATTTTATTAGCCAGGCTGTTTTGCAGGTTTTACGCAGAGGTTCTCCACCACTCATCCATATTGGCTTGCAGAAGAAACCTAAAAACCATCTTCCCATGTTCGATTAGTACGTGGTGAGCTTATCTATAAATTTACAGATGCATGTAAACAAAATGAGAAAAGTTTTTGTTGTTAGGAATTGTCTGTAAATTAGATATCGCCTCCTTCTATTTTATATATCTATCCATTAAAAGGACTCGTCCCTTGGTCTTACTAACCAGCCATACACCGTATGTAGGATGGGTAGATATCTCACCAAAAATGTTTTATATATCTATCCATTAAAAGGACTCGGCCCTTGGTCTTCCTGACCAGCCATACACCGTATGTAGGATGGGTAGATGTCTCACCAAAAATGTTTTATATGTTTTATCCATTAAATTCCCTTGGGAGAACTATGGGGAAAAGCCTTAACCCCATAGTTCTCCTTTAAAAGGCCTCAGCCCTTGGTCTTCCTGCCCACCCTTGCACCGTATGTAGGATGGGTAGATGCCTCACCAAAAATGTTTTATATATCTATCCATTAAAAGGCCTTGGTTCATTGGTCTTCCTAACCAGCCATTCACAGAATGAAGGATGGGTAGATGTCTCACCAAAAATGATCGCTGGTAGACATTTGCCCTTCCCTGAAATCATCTGGACCACTCATGATGGTCTGGACTGACCAAAGAATACTGGTGCTTTTGTGACTTAACACTTCTTTCTTATCTTTCACTTTTCAATTTCACTTTAAGAATTGTGATTATCTACTATAACAATTTGGCATGAAGGTGCTGGAGAGTCTTCTCTACTTGGTACCTAAAGCCTTCCATGTCTGGCCGTAAATCATGCACAAGTGTTTTAAGTGGCGTGAATCAAGTTATTATATCAGTCAACCATAGAAAGCTGCCACTGGTGTATCTAGTGATTTTAAAGTTCCAGGTTTTGTATATTTCTACAGATCAGGCACAAGTAGAGATTCTAAAGCACTCTTTTTAAATGCTTCATAGGCAGCAATGTGAAGGTTCTCGTCTTGCAAAAAATAGTGCATGTCAGATGAAAAGAAATTGATTTGTGGGTCTGATTGTTCTTTGCCTAGTAATTAGAATTCCTTTTGTTTGACCATCTTAAATCTGGACTGTTTGCTTATCACCCTCTTATTATCCCTTATCTGCTGTCTGAGATTTGTCTTTCTGAAGTGCCAAAATAGTAGTTTTGGGGGTAGGGGGATTGTTAAGGGTTGTGTGGCATTACTTTATGGTGTTGTCTGACTTGACTTACGTCTAAATGTCAAAATCTAGAGGAAAGTCATTAAAAAAGATGGTCAAAATTTGATGCAAAACTCACGGCGTGACAATATAATCTGTGTCCCTAATACTTTCTTTATTTATTCTCTTTATATTTTGCTGCCATGCTGCATTTCCATTAATAAAACCTCACTCGGTTTCTCTCTCTGTTGTTTAGTGAAGCAGATGATGGTTGCCGGAAACCATTGGAGAGGTTGCTGCACATCTGGCAGGAGCGTAGTGTCTACACCGCTGACTTCATCCAGCAGATCAGACTGGCATTGGATGAGGATGACAGCCCCAGGGAGCCTCCAGGTACACCACCCCCGAGGAACCCTGTGTGACAGTGGTCTTAAGACATGGATGTGAGCGGCACTTCTTCTTGAGGAGCACGTCCTATTAATCCCTCCTCATTCACAGGTGCCCGCTCCACATTCATTTTATGTTTTTGCCTTTACATGTTTTTGGCATTGGTGTGTAAGTATGTGTGTGTATATGTACAATGTGGAAAATAATTATTTGACCCCCCTGCAGATTTTGTCCAGAAGTTTGCCCACTTACAAAGAAATGAAAGGTCTATAATTTTTATCATAGATGTATTTTGAATAGACAGAATATCAACCAAAAATCCAGAAAAAACACGATACAAATGTTATAAATTGAGTTGCAGTTCAGTGAGTAAAATAAGTATTTGATCCCCGAGCAAAACATGACTTAGTACTTGGTGGAGAAACCCTTGTTGGCAAGCACAGAGGTAAGACCTTTCTTGTAGTTGGTTACCAGGTTTGCATACATCTCAGGAGGGATTTTGTTCCACTCTTCTTTACAGATCTTCTCTAAATCCTTAAAGTTTCTTGGCTGTCGCTTGGCAACTCGAAGTTTCAGCTCCCTCCATACATTTTCTGTAGGATATTAAGGTCTGGAGACTGGCTAGGCCACTCCATGACCTTAATGTGCTTCTTCTTGAGCCACTTCTTTGTTGCCTTGGCGGTATGTTTTGGGTCATTGTCATGCTGAAAGACCCATCCACAACACATCATCAGTGTTCTGGCTGAGGGAAGGAGGTTCTCATACAAGATTTTACAATACTTGGCCCCTCAATGCGGCAAAGTCGGCCTATACCTTTAGCAGAGAAACAGCCCCAAAGCATAATGTTTCCACCTCCGTGCTTGACTGTAGGGATGGTGTTCTTAGGGTCGTAGTCAGCATTTTTCTTCCTCTAAACACAGGAAGGCGAGTTAATAACAAAAAGCAAAATTTTGGTCTTCTCTGACCACAGCACTTTCTCCCAATCCTTCTCTGAATCATTTAGATGTACACTGGCAAACTTCAGACGGGCCTGTACATGTGCCTTCTTGAGGAGGGGGACATTGCGGGCGCTACAAGATCACAATCCATGGCGGTGTATTGTATTACCAATGGTTTGTTTGGTGACTGTGGTCCCAACTGCTATGAGATCATTCACAAGTTCCTCCCGTGTAGTTCTGGGCTAATCCCTCACTTTTCTCATGATCATCCTTACCCCATGAGGCGAAATTTTGCATGGAGCTCCAGACCGAGGGCGATTGATGGTTATTTTGTAGTCCCTTCATTTGCGAATAATCGCTCCAACAGTTGTTTCCTTCTCACCAAGCATCTTGCTGATAGTCTTGTAGCCCATTGCAGCCTTGTGCAGGTCTACAATCTTGTCCCTAACGTCCTTTGACAGCTCTTTGGTCTTGCCAATGGTGGTGAAGTTTGAATGGAAGAAAGCGATTTTGTGGACAGGCGTCTTTTATATACATAACGAGTAGTCGTTCGGAGCACCTTCTTAAATTAACAGGACTAATCTGTGTATCACATACCCAGTCTGTGGGAGGAGCCAGAGTTATTCTTGGTCGCTGATGGATCAAATACTTATTTTACTCGCTGAACTGCAACTCAATTTATAACATTTGTATCATGTTTTTACTGGATTTTTGGTTGATATTCTGTCTCTATCATTTAAAATACACCTGTGATAAAATGATAGACCTTTAATTTCTTTATAAGTGGGCAAATGTACAAAATCTGCAGGGGATCCAATCATTATTTTCCTCACTGTATGTATAGTAGTTAGAAGTGGCAGAACTTGATAAAGGTTTAAATGCAAGGCTTGACGGGTGAGAGCCGAGTAAAGATTGATCCCAAGGCAGCAAATTTGTGAGGTTGGTAGGACAACAGTGTCATTTACAGTTGGATCTTATGAAGTCGTTTGTGATGATGGAATATGATTTGAGGTTGACAAGCAATGAACCTTCAACTTTAATTACAGTTGTTCATCGTTTTTTTCCCTTGCTGTTTTTAATAAACATACTTCTCTTGATTATTACAGCTGTGTCCAAGGCATAACTATTCTTTTATGGGATCCTGGTGTACAAAGTCCATACAGACCTTGCAGTCACAAAGGTGACTTCATGCTGAACTCCTATGATTTCACTGAGAATTGAATAGTGATCTGATAACACTTGAAGTCACTGATTATGTGGACTCCTCAGTAATGCAGAGCTGTGACTCTGAAGATCGTTCCGTTCTAGTGGATCAGACAAACTTCCCAGGAATGCAGTTTGATTTATATGTTATGACTATTATTGCCCAAATGCTCTGATGCATAAACCGATAAAGGAACTTCCAGTCAGAGGGAGATTCTCTCTAACCGGCAGTGCCGCGAGAGGTCATGACCTGCCTCCCGGCTTCCTGATTGGCAAGGAAGCCAGCTTCACTTGATGCTAGGTAGCCTGGCTTTCTGACCAATCCGGAAGCTGGGCAGTACGTCATGAGCCGGCTTTCCGATTGCCTAGGAAACCGGCTTCACTTGTTGCTAGGCAGCCTGGCTTCCTGACCAGTCGGGAGGTGGGTCATGACGTGCCACCCGGCTTCCTGAATGGTCAGGAAGCCAGGGTGCCTAGCAACAAGTGAAGCCGGCTTCCTAGCCAATCGGGGAGGCGGGTCATGACGTGCTGCCCGACTTTCTGATGAGTCAGGAAGCCAGGCTGCCTCAGAACGTGAAGCCAGTGCTCTTTCGATAGAACATAGGCTTCCCAGACAATCAGGATGCTTCCTGATAAGCCAGGTCCGCGGTACCCCGAGAGATGCCGGTATCGGTATTCGTATTGGCGAGCCCTAAAAAAAAAATATACCTCAAGTTGGCGTGTGCCGGAGGCGTCTAAAAAGGCCTATTTATGTGGACATTCACTGGTGTAACAGTCCACAGTAAGATCAGCTTTAAGTTTACCCAGGTTGATGGACATTGACAGATGCAGCTTGGTGGCCATTGATGGACGGGTATCGTTGGATGATTGCTTGGGTAGACATTAGGGATGCACCGAAATGACATTTTTAGACCGAAAATAAAAATAGTTTTTTTCAAAGGCCAAATCTCTTTTTCTGCAGCCCATGCTATGAATGAGCAGGAAGCCTATATACTGAGTGTTCCTGTACATTCACAAACTGGGGAGATAGTATCAGTTACAGGAAGTGATGTAGTCCACTCCCTGTTCATTCATAACTGGGGACACAGTAAGCATACTATGTCCTCAGTTATTTACTCACGTCAGTTCTGATCGCTGAGCACTCGTAACCCGCTCTCCATCCTTACTCCTCCACCTGTCAGAGAAGGCTGAGCGTGCGTTGAGGGAGGAGAGCTCAGCCTCCTGTGACAGCGGATGGCTCTCTCCTACCTGCACCGCCCTACTCGGCATCCTGACAATTTCTCTCCCTGCTGGGTGCTGATCTTGTCCCCTCCAATCTCCGCTGCCTCTGCCAACATATTTGTGGGAGAGCAGCGGGGATCAGAGGGGGCAGGTAGTCTGCATGCAAATGCTCTCTGTCTGCCTAGGGGTACCCACTACTCCAGACTGGCAACCAACTATTAAGGCATTTTTAAAATTTGTCTAACTAAAAATCAACCCCCGCCTAAGAGCCAGCCCATTGCTTAAATCAATGTTTGTGACTGCGTTAGAATGTGTGACCGGTGTTGTGGTCACACATTTTAACCTAATCCCATCCAGTTTTTTGGCGGTGGAATGTGTGACCGGCAAAAGGTGAAGAAATCCAACGCTTTCTCAGCTGTTCCAGGGCAGATCGGCATCGCAGATGGTATGTGCAGGAGAACCAATCGGCCCTGGAACAGCTGATCGGTCCTGAAATGTCACTTCTATCCAACTTTGTGGAATGTGAGATCGCAGTCACAGAGTCGGATAGAAGTGACATTTTAGGACCGATCGTCTGTTCCAGGGCAGATCCGTTCTCCTGCACATACCATCTGCGATGCCAATCTGCCCTGGAACAGCTGGGAAAGCGTTGGAATTCTTCACCTATTGTCGGTGACATATTCCACCGCCGAAAAAGTGGACGGGATTACGTTAAAATGTGTGACCATGTGACCGGTCACACATTCCAACCCAGTCACAATCTTTGATAAAACACCTGCATTGTGTAGAGAAGCAAAGAGACCCAGTGATGACATCACTGGGTGTAAAAAAGGTATGTAATGAAAATGGAAAGGTTTTATTTAAAGAAGAACTCTAGGTAATTTTTTTTAATTAACAAGGATTGCGTGCTTGTTTTGGTCTAGGGCTGAAAATAACAAAGTTATACTTGCCTAATCTTCTGAGCCGACTTGCCTTTGGACCGGTCCCTGGAGCGTCTCTCCCCCTTCGCTCAAGCAGCCTACGGTCCCTGGGTCATCACATTCTATACACAGTGTATAGGACATGAGGACGCTGAGGGACATTCCATTGCTGCAGTTTAGGAAGAGACAGGCTGGAGGGAGTGCTTTCACAGCCGGCGTTATTTCCAGCCCCAGACCGAAAAGAGCAGTTAACCCTTGCAGTGCAGGGGTAGCCCCAGCTAAAGGGTTAATAACAATTTAAGTTCTTCTTTAAGAATTGCTTTAGCATGTGGATGTATTGGCAGAGGGAGAATCCAGGGAAGACAAAATATCAGCAGACTAAACTTCAGCACTAAAAAGATTGAGAATGACTTTTATAATTCGATTGTTGAAGCTTTTGTGAGGTTTTAGATCAGGGGTAGCCAAACTGCGGCCCTCCAGCTGTGGGAAAACTACAAATACTATCATGCATCTGCCTCAGTAGGCCATGCCTGTGGCTGTCAGAGACTTGCAATGCCTGATGGGACTTGTAGTTTCATCACAGCTGGAGGGCCTCAGTTTGGCTACCCCGGTTTTAGATCCTGTAGTGTGGACTTGTCCTTCGATGCCCTAATACGCTGATGGAGTAATGGCCAGTGTGGCGACACATACACATTCCTCACCGTTTTATTTATAACATCTGAAC